CGTTAACAAATTATGTTCAAAGCTAAAAAAACTTACATTAATGAGATAAGCGACTATCTTGGACCTTCACACAAACTTTTGCGATTTGCATAAGCGATTGCCAATGCCTTTAGAGAGGATCGACCATCGCATAGGCTAGCAATGACCATTGTTCCATTAGGACAATATCCATTTGCCTGAGACTTGCTCGAAGAGGTAAACTTGCAGGCACAAAACTCGGGTGTATTCGAAGGAATTTTAAAGGAATTGAAGGTGGGGGAACATGGCGGCCACTCATACAAGATATGCCCTCACTCTTACAGGCACTCGTTAACGATGCTGGCTCAGCAGGGACGGGCATTATCATTAATAAGTAATAAATCAGGTCTAACTGTCGCACCACAGACTCTCTAATGTGGTGTAACAGACTCTCCCTATGTGGTGCAGAACTTCATCCCGATATAGAGCAGCCGTCACAGGACCGTCTTTAAACATTTGCAGCTGTACGCGATGTTTTATTGAAACTCCCATATCATGATTTTTCCACCTCTGAATGCGTGATATTTTGGGACTGATTCCGTGTGCCTCTTTCCCTTCAAACCCTTAAAGTTTATCATTCGATTTTAAGGCAAATCTGAACTCGTCCGTGAACAGGAATTCCGTACTGTGGCAATGAATCTGAACGTGAAATACGGAAAAGGCTGAAAAATTACAGGAAAATCAGCGTTTTTTTAGATAAAAAATAAACATAAAATGAGATATAAAAAATGAAAGAATAAAATGAGATAATTACAGATATCACTTATAAAGATGTCTCAGACTCCGTAAAAGATATTAAAATACTATACATTTTATCCTCATCGGGGAACTTCGAAATAAAAGGGAAGGCTGATTTTGAGCTAGAATGATCCTAGACAGAGTACTGTGCTGGAACTATGGAGAAAAAGGAAGTATCCAGCCGTGCAGCTCCCCACTGATATATATTCGGTATCCGTGAGTGTATTTTTTTCCCTCTCGTTTTGTTTGTTACTGGTTATTTAACTAATAGATGAAAGAGTGACTTTTATTTTTAAATGTTTAATTGTCATGATTCATAAATTAAATTAAGGGAAAATAAATGTTTCTTAAAAGAAATTTTCACAGAATTAATGTGTATTGAGATTATATCAAGTAGTTTAATTAGTTTCTAAACGTAAGATGATAAATTTACTGATGTGTTACAGGCGAAGGAATAATGAGTTCTTCTAAATTAGCTTTATATGTGAGCTTCAGTTCTTGAAACACTATTTAAAAAGATTAATAATTGGAAAGAGTTTGGATTTGAAAAATGTTAAAAAGGAGATTAGTGTTTAATGAAAATTGTGTAAATATTATAAAGTACATAACTAATAATTTGGGTACAATATTGATCATTGTACGGATTGCCAAATGAAAAAATATGAGTAATTTTTAGATAATGTTTTGTAGGGATAGTCTGGAAAGCTATCTAAAATTATAATTTTTTTGGAATACTTAATAAGTGCTTTTATTGATTTATTATTGTATGTTGGTAGTACAGTAGACCACAGGATAAACAGTAGACCACAAGATAACAGTAGACCTACAGTAGACCACAAGATAAAACTCACCTATCTGGTGAATTTTTTTATCTTGTGGTCACCCATGTGATACTTACGGAAGGCATGGTTATTTCTTTTCAACTCGAACCTGAGCAACTTATTGTGGGTAGTAGGGAAATTAATTGTGTTGCAGTTGTACGATCAGATGAATTAATTTATCTAAACTGGTGATTGTCTTCTTACGTGTGAGATTTATCTTTCTCTGGTGTTTTGAAATGTTCTGTGTTATATTTAAATGAAAAGTGTTTGTGGCTATCTTATAGAGTTGTTTGGAAATTTACGTGGTTTTAGGAAGGAGAGCTGAAATAGTTTTATTTTAGTGAGGGATAGCAGTTTTACGAATTTGTTACTGAAATGCATTTTCCCATTTTTGCTTTTAGGTTTGATAAATAATCTTGATTGTACCAAAACGTCAGAGAGGATATTATCTCTTTCAGTATTGACTTAAAGAGTAAATGAAAATGATAAATTTATTTTACTGTGCTGATGATTTATGTAATTTAGTCTAACTGAAAGGTCTTAGTTTTGCAATCACCAGGCACCTAAAGAGTTCAGATATTATTTTTATGAGAGAGTTTGTGATTGGTATTGCTTTCTTTTTTTTTTTGTCGCGGCACCAAATGTTGAGTAAGCCAGATAGTTTAAAAATAAAAGCAATGTTAACAAACTTCAAAACGCAACAGAAGATGTTAGTATAGTCGATAGCACAAGCCACAGTCCAGCGGAAAGCCTGTGTTGGGTGTCCAGGGAGATGAAAAACACTTTTCAAAAAGTAACCTGCCCATATCATTTCATTTTCCTCTCTCTATGACCTTAACACTTTGTCGGATGTGTCCACTCAAGCTATTATGGTATGATTTCAGAAGAGTAGTATATTCTCTATGAGGCCAATACACCACTTCTCAGTGGTAAGCAAGCGTTTCGCTTACCGTTTGCAGTTACGTCTGCTCAGAGGTAGCATAGGATTGCACTCAGCTTTTAGTTGCGTAATATTCAGTCCAGGTTCTCATCGAGTTTCAATGGTTCTTGCGTAACTGTCTGAATCGGTTAACCCATGGAACAATTTTTTTTGTGTGAACAGAGCCTCGCGTGCTGCTTGTTACCCCAAGAATACCTTACCGTAGAATGTTTACGGACTTCTGTCCCCATTGAAACGAGTCTTAACCCATTTCTTCGTAGGGTGTCTTGAAAAAAAAAACGCAATTAAATTGCCAAACTTAAAAATTGCATTCTTGTTGCATTTAATGGCGGACTGACATAGACAGTGTTTGATTTTTGCTTCAAATAACTCCTGCCTGAAATGCTTAACGATACTACAGCAACCGTCTCCAGTTAGACATACTGTGGAGAATAGTTCTCGTATTAAGCAGACGGTATGTCACACTTAAAATAATTTCAAGAGAAACATTTCGTGAGATAATAAGAAACTGCTCGTAATAGTTGATATTACTCTTACTGAAACATAATAATACTTACTGCAACATATAAAATTTTGAAATCTGTTTTGCTACTATCCTTGTCAAAGCGACCAATTTTACTTATGATCTTTCAATATAAAGCTAGAATTTAGGTCATTTTTAAACAAGGCAGAGATAATGTTGATATCCTTCAACACTCCATAAGTAATGTTGGCATACTGGCTACACATTTAGTGCAAGTCTGACAAATTATACATCAGGATATTATTCGTTGATTACACGCATCTATACGAGACCGAGTAAACGTTTGTATGGAAGTTATACTAGAGTAACATTAACTTGAAACGCATTGAAAAATGCAACTGGGGTACATTAACCATCGTAATTATATTACAGCCAAAAATTTCATTCCCCAAGAATCACTTAAAAATTATTAAGCAATGAAAACAATTTATAAATTTACCATTAAATTTGGTATTTGTTCGGTTTTGGAAATTCCTTTTTTAACTTTCACTTTTATATCAAAGCAAAGCCTATTTCGGAGTTTATTTTACACCAATTGACTCATTTGGCAGCTAATTTGTTACAGCATTGGTACAAAAAGGTTCAGTTTAAGCATCAGAAAAAAATGATGGTTGGTGTAAAGCGATCAACAAAGCGGATTCGAAACAAGGCAGATCGGAAGAAAAAGAAAGAGTATTAAATATTAAAATGTAGTGATTAATTTCTAAAAAAAAAAAAAAAACGCTCAGATAACATACAGTACAGCGATTTTCAACCGGGGGGAGGGTAAGCGTACGACTGGTGAGAAAGATAGACACTGGTGAGAAAGATAGACACTGGTGAGACGACTGGACTCAAGAGAAAAATAGGTGCTATGCAAAGAAACAAAGTATTTTTAACTATTCAATTCTAAAATCTCGTCAAGAAAAAGAGCAATTGACAGAAATTTCCTGTGATCAAACTCTATAATGAATATTTCAAAAACATCACACTTCTTAACTTTTGGCTGAACCGAAAAAAGGAATTTAAAGGCATTTCAAAAAAAAAAAAAAAAAAAAAAAGCTCTTAAATTTGTATTGCCTTTTTGCACAGCCTATTTGTGTGAACAAGGATTTTCTTCCATGTTATATTTGAAAAATAAATACAGAACAAAATTAAAAGTGGATCCTAACTTGCGGTAAGAACTAAGTGAAATAAGGCCAGACATAAAAAAAAATGATCTCTTTTCAACAGGCCCAAATTTCACGCTAAATTTTAGAATTAAAGTATAACAAATTTTGAGAGTTAAAATGATAACCAATTTTTAATCTAATATTTTTATGTGTACATAATTAATGCAAACTGCCGATAGCTTGTGCAAATGGCAAAATATTTTTTTAAATATTTCTATTGAGAAACTGAAAAATAATCATTGTAAAATGAAGTGGTGTTGCTAAAGTTTTTCAAGTTTTTTCAGATGGTACGCGTTAGTCAAAAGATTGAGAACCGCTGGTACAGTAGAAAAAATTAGTAATAAATCTGTCTATAAGGCTTTCCTTGAGCGCCGCTTAGACGGGAAAGTTATTAGTGACTCTCTCTGTCGTACTAAAGGGCCCGCGTAAAGGGAGGCAGTGGCAGTGGCCCACGTATTAGACGCCTCCATAATAGAGACCACGGCTTCCGGCCTTAGTAGTGGCCAACGCCTATAAACGGCTAGAAATTGTCATTGAAAAAACTTTCCTAGAACTTAACTTTCCCCGAATGTAAAGTGGCACTATCACATACTAACGTTTTCAATATACAGAATTAATAGATTTTCGGCTAAATATTATGGTGTTATTTAGTCAATACATTTTTTATTCATTTGTTTATTTGTTTGCAAGATGGTTTTTCAAAACATTTATTGTTTCTTTCATTTATTTTAATGCTTCTTTCTTTTCTAATCACACTTTAATAAAATCCTTTACTTTTAATAAAATCCATGCACCTATGCATTTTACAGAAATGTCTCTAAGAAAAAAAGTTGCAATTATTGGAGCTGGACCCAGTGGTCTGGCAGCGATTAAGAGTTGCAAAGAAGAAGGTTTAGAGCCTGTGTGTTTTGAAAGAAATGGCGATCCTGGTGGACTATGGAGATATCACGACGAAGATCTTGAAGGCGTCCCTTCTGTTATGAGAACAACTATCATCAACACCAGCAAAGAGCTGAGCGCATTTAGCGATTTCGCTCCACCCAAGGACTTCCCAAATTACATGCATAATACCATGATGTACAAATATTTCATGCTGTACGCGAAACAGTTTGACTTACTGAAACACATCAGGTAATGTTTCAAAGTTTGCAACTGTGTGTGATAAGAATATTTTAATACTTCATAAATGTGAAATTTAGTTTTATACTGCAAATTAAACGTAAATTCTTTTGAAATTAGTCATACATATTAATCTCTTTATATTGATAAGAATATGATTTTTATGATTTATATTTCATTAGAATAGCTCTTAGTTTCGCAACATTTTTACATTCGGGCAGAAAGAACTTTATATTTTTAATTTTTGAGCTTAATATATATTTGGTTAGAGAAAAAAATCTTTATAATCACAAAGTTGTAGTTTAAGAAAAAACTGAAAGTTAAATTTGCTCGTAGTCAGAAAGGAAGTAAAATAATACCTTAACTGAATTAAAAAGAGAATAACAATAGGAATAAAGAGATAAAATTTTATAGTAATGCGTATACTTAGTATCCGAATTACGAAGCTCTTAATGCTTTGTTAGAATTGATTTATTTATTTTGACTAACAGCTAATTTCTAGTTAAAGCAACTTTTCTTTCATTCTCCTTTTCGCCCACGCTTGCTTGTCAGAATCTTAAACAGATAGCGAGCGTGTATTCAAATTAAGGGAGAAAGCTATTTAAGCGGACCTTTTGGAAGGTAATTTTAGAGCGTGCCATTCTTGCTTGACGGGCACGTTGTTACTTTGCCTTACTAGCGATTTAATTCTGTGGCGTTGAGTATTTCTAGCCATTAAGCTTCTTTCAAGCCGGCTTCTACGAGACAGAGCCTTCTTGTGAGTTTAAATTATCCTGTGAGCTATTAGGCTAGTTTAATTATATTTTATTTTAGTTTAACATTACTTATCTGAGTTAAGCCACGAGTGTTGGCTTACGTAAGCCCAAATGGGCCGTCTGTTCAACTATATGTGATTGAATAAAGGGTTCTTTACATCCTTCTTCTGACTTTGCCCGTTGTGTCAAGATCTGAGGATAATTTCTCATGCAGTCTCTCCAGAGCTCGTTAGTTTATGCTACCAAAAGGAGCGAGGCTCTATAGCTTATCTAAGGAATTAAAAAAACCTGTACATTAAACTAACAACTACAATTAGAAAATGGAATATTGTTTGAGGCAGGAATGCTTTAAACAGATTACACTGAATGCGAAGGGGAGTAAATTTTTGAATTTATACTGCACATAAAACTTTGCGTCAGTGTGCAAGAATAATTATTCGATATAAATGAGACTGAATGGTATCATATGTCCGGAAATGTCGGATAACAGTTACTACGGAAGATGGGTGTTAAAAAACATTTTATTACAAAAATGCAGAATTATGAGACAAGAGAATTTTGCACATTGAAATCAGTATACTATACTATACTATATATATATATATATATTTTATGATGTAAGGTTTTCTTCATCAGAAGTAAAGGTAAGTCCATTACGACACAGAAAGCCCTTTGCAAGAGATGTGGAAAGATATATACTGCAACGGACATATAAAGAAAGGATAAATTTCAATAAAATGCTGAAAAACATGTTACTATCAGTTTAAGTTTACGGTTGCTTGTCCTACGAGCTGTTACTCACTTGAAAGCAATATGGGCAATAGATTTTGAATGAAATAGTACAAAATACTGCAGTAGTCGCAGTAGTCAATTAACAGCAAAAATAATAACTATAATAGTAATAATGAAAATCTTCATAATAGTAATATCTAGTAAGCATAAATTTCCACGGTACGCCGGATAAAACAGTCTCCGATCGAGTCTCTACTGCAATCTAGACTCTGTAATCTTGACTACCGCTTTTAAACAGAACTATAATTTAGAAACAGGAAGAACCACTAACGAATAGCTAAGTTTACTGCTTATTCTTTTTTAACTATCAAAATGAGCTGCTACTTTGAATAACAATAACAATAGAATCAAGATTCGAAACAAAATAATCACGAATAACTACTTGTTGCCATTAAGCATAAAAGAAATATAAATATGAATATTAACAAAACGTTAAAGCTAACTTTACAAATTAATCAAACACATGCAAAAATTTAAAATACTAGAAATTAATTATTACTCATGCAATAACTGGGCCACTACAACTCTTCTGTATGGATATCTGATGGAACGACACCATGATCGATGGTCAGTTGTTACATCATAAAACTAAAAAAATAATCCGTCAGCTATAAAAAAATTATTAATCGATATACAACTTACTTTCGGAAATTAATTCATTCAAGAATAGAATTTCCCAAGGAGACGTTAAAAATATAATAACAATTAATGAGATGTAACCAGATCAAGGTACATTCAACAGTACGTGGAGGCAAATGAGCTAATTTGGCCCGGTCTCTGGAGTAATGACGTTAGACACCAGGGCGCCTCGTTGCAATACCCTACCCCTAATAGAATATAGTTAAAAATTACGAATAGATTCTATTATTAACTTGATCAAAGATCTTAATAAGTTGTTTTTTAAATTTTTTTACTAGTAGTTTTAGGTAAATACGATAATTTAATTAAATATATAAAATTTCTAGAGAAGACCGTCTAACGCATGGAAAGCTGCTGAGATGGTGCGTAACTCATAAAGGTAAAGTATTAATCACTCAGTGGCAACACAAGAGCTTATTAAATACAAATTAATAAACTTACTACAATTCAGTATAGTAAAAATAAATAAAATACAGGTGCAATAAATGTACTTAAGTTTCAGTCACAAAATACTGGAATTTAATATTGCCATTTGCTTCTTATTGCTTTCTGTGCTGCAATAATTATAATTATAAATTCTTATTTTTGAATTAGGAATTTTTCTCATTTTAATATGAAAAGTTTTGGCCAGATGATAGTACAAGTTGCGAAACTGTTCAATTTTTAACTCTTCATGAACTGCACGCAGCAGTAATTTGGCGACCAGAGTTTTGCACTATTTGTAATTTTTTGCTATAGGATTTCTAAGAGTAGACCAAGACCGGACAGGCATAACAAAGCATGGGACACCAAAGGGATTTATAAATGAGTAATTTGTTATCAATAGATAGAAAGCTTTTTCGAGAAATTAGGGGGTAGAGTTTAGCTTTACGCGTTCGAAACTCCTGGATAATAACTTGCATGTGTGGATACCATGCAAGAGATTTTGTGAGGATCACCCAAAGATAAGTGACTTACTTAGCCCAGGGCAAAGTGTTACCATAAAATTTAAGACGTTGTTTGATGATCTTTTCGGCAATTGTGAACGTGATTGCCATAGTTTTTTCTATATTGACTTGAATCTTTCATTGATTAAGCCATGTCTCTAATGCTTATATCATCCTTGAACGAGACGTTCGTTGCAACGGGCACCTGGACTGGAGTGTTCTATCCCCATCTATTTTATGTCACTTTTCGAACTTTGATTTCTTATGATGCATAAAGTCATATCTTATTGTAAGGCAATTACAGTAATCTTTTTTCTAGGCAATAATCCGTGATAAGCAATGTGATCTAGTAGGTTTTGGATCACTGGACTTAGAAATACACTTTGTGCAAGGAATGGACTAAATGTGAGCATGCGTGCACTTATGTTAGTGCTTTAACGGTCTTGTGATGTCGTCTGGTGGATAGTCAGAAAGTTAAGAGTACTTGCATTCAATACTTAATTGTTTGACATTAATGTGATTTATAATTTTTTCATAAATTTACTCTTTATTTAATTTTTATCATTTATTTTTATTTAACTTTCTTCAGGGTCTTTCATATGTCTCTGGCACTTCTAGTTTTAGAAATCAAGCTCTGCCCAAGAAGCTTAGAGATCTTGTAATATACTTGACAGTGGCGCCGGAAAAAGATGTCATTTATACCTCGTAAACGTGAGCGATATTTTACAGTATACAACATTTACATATTCATCACTATCTTGTTAAACATAAAGGTCATTCAGTCGTACTTAGGTAGCTATTGAAAGAACAACTATGACGTATTAAAATGATAAAGGCCTAAGGATTTTATGTTCAACTGCAGATCAATATAGATTATAAATAACTACAGTAGTGTAATAAACTAAATATTTTTGAGGGGGGCTGTGACATATATGTCCCACACTTTCACTACTTTAAATGCATCTCAAGAAATTTCAGTAAACTATGGAGATTTAAAATTTACTCCTTAATATGGATTAGGAAGTGCAAGACCCTGTCGATTAAAATAAGTGACTAAATGGCCATAATACGTTCGAAATTGGCCCCTATAGCCCACGGGAAAAGGTTAAGACTGAGCATGGATAAAATTATAGCATGTTTATTTTTTGTACCTATCTAATAAAAGTCCCCGAATAAATAATAAATTTAATTATTGAAATTTAAGGTAGTTTTTTTACCAATAATTTGAAGCATCTTTTATCAAACTTAAGTACATGCTATGTGTATTTCTAGGTATTATCTAGAAGCAGTAAAAGTAGAACCTGCCAAAGATTATGATGAGAGTGGCAAGTGGATAGTCACAGTAAAAAGTTCGCAAACAGAAGCTGTGACGAAAGAAGATTTTGACGCCGTAATGGTCTGTGTAGGACATCATGTTTATCCTAAAGTTCCAACTTTTCCAGGCCAAGAAAAATTTAGAGGCACCATCACTCACACTCACAGCATCAAAAGCTGTGATCGCTACGCTGGACAAAGAGTAGTTGTTGTAGGGATTGGAAACTCTGGAGTAGATGCAGCCGTGGACTCCACTTACGTGGCTTCTCAGGTAATAAAAATGCCTTTATTTCATGTAGTAAAAATTCTTTTATTTCAAACTTATGTAGCAGAAAAATTAGTGAGAATCTGTTTAAATTAGCTTATAAATATTTTTAAAACATGAGAAAGCTCCAATCCAAGTGCTCTAACTTACTTTGATTTAACCTTGCAAAAATCCGCATCTTGGTAAACTAGATAACGATACAAGTTCTTTTTTTATTAAATTTACACTAAGCTCTGTAAATCTAATTAGATCTTTCTTCCTTTTTCCATACTTACAGTTTTGAGAGAAAATATGGTTAAAAGTTTTCAAAAAGTTTTAATAATAAAGTTGCGTAAATATCTTGGCACTATGAACCAGATGTGCAAGCGTGATAATAACATGTTCCATAATAGTTAAACATAGCGTGATAATAACACATTGAATGCAACGTGATAATAATACGTTGCAAATAGTTCGTTAATAATTAAAGAAGACGGCTACATTTTAGTAGGTTTCATCGATGCCTTAAATCTACGTTTCTTCTTTGATTTAAACTTTGCGTAAGTAAAAGCTTCTTCGGGATTAATTGCAGAATTTTATATCTACCATACTTGCAAAGCAGTTTTATAACTTATGGTAAAAGAGGAGATTATCTGTCAGTAGTTTTGTTTCCTGATTACGAACCAGTTTGTATTGTCTATAAATAATTTCTGAAAACCCTTCGTACTCCCCATCTTGCTACTATTAAGCTACAAGAATAAGTATTTTATTTAAATTCTTTTGTAACCCAAATAAAGGTATAAATAAATTTTATCCGGATTTCATTTACTGCAAATTTGTGGATTCAAGCCACGGTTGCCTCATAATATATTATATGTAGAAATCTCGGTTTTGAGTGCCTATGTAATAAAGAAAATCTAGCAAGGAATTAACCATATTCTCCCTGCTCGTTAAAAGCTAAATGAGAAAAATAAATTTCGTGTTAATCGTAATGGTTAAAAATGCAGCATTTTTCTAGGATAAAAAATTATGGATAAAAGGTTTACCTGTTGGGGATTCCTTTTCCTTGTTTTTATAAGCTTTGTTATGCTTGATTATGGCATCCTAGGTTTTGGTAATTTCTCTCAAAATAGAAAATCTACAGGTTTTTAGTTCCTAAATTTATCTTTTAATCTATGATCATTTGAAACTGGTAACATGATCTCTTTTCTTCTGGAATAAAACAGATTTTTTTTTTGGCAAAGCGTATTTATGATTTCAGTGATTCAGCGAATTCAAGGTATCTTGGAATGTAGTACGAGTGGTACCTCGTCGAAAATCCTGGTCTGGGCGAGTTACATCCGTCGCGAAATGATTTTTGCAAATTTATTATTTCGAGGTAGTTCGTATGCGAAGCCTAAACGTCCTGTAAAGACAAAACGAAGATAAGTTTCGTCGCTGGCTGCGCAGAGCAGCTAGCTTGGTTATTCTCGAATACCTGGTAATTAAAATAGAGTCGCGCCAGACTTCTTGTAACTTAGTCTTATTCTTGTAACTTAGCGATATTCACTTGCAGATGAAGAAATATGAAGCATTATAGGCGGCTGTTCTTTTAGATGTGGCAAAAAACCTCGAGCAGCAACATTTTTTTAGCCGCATTTCTATTGATTTCAATTTTAACAGCAATTTTCAGTTCTATGACTGACTAGGTATTTACTTTACGATGCATAAAAATACAGCTATTTGAATACAGCTTTTTTTTTCTCACTTTCGTAAGTTTATCCATGATAACATTTTATATTTAATGCTGAATAATCCAGAAAAAGTGTAAATGAACAAAAGCAGTCACGTTAGTATTAATTTTAATGAATTACGAGCAGTCTGCAATTTACGCTTTAGCTCTTGTTAGCCGAAATGTAACAGCAGAAATTACGCAAGAGACGTTTCATCAGAAATTAAGCAAACAGCCATCGCATGCTTTAATCGCTGCTACACACGTGCCATCGCTGCTACACACGTGCACCTTCTAAAAAAAATAGAAAACTATTAGACGCAGGTTCATAAGATCCACCTGAATTGACGTTTCAACTCATGGGTATTTAATTGTTTCATCAGAAATTAAGCAAACAGCCATCGCATGCTTTAATACAATTATTTGATGCAAAACTGTCTTCCAAAATTAGACATACAAGACTTTTATGAACAGATTAAAGAGACACACACACGTGCACCTTCTAAAAAAAAATAGAAAACTATTAGACGCAGGTTCATAAGATCCACCTGAACTGACGTTTCAACTCATGGGTATTTAATTGCTTTAAAATAAAAGGAAGGCTTAGGGCCTAAGCTCTGTCCATATTTTGACTGAGGCTGCCCAGACGGTTTAGTGGTTAGGGGAGCCTGACTGCGATACCAAAGGGCCCGGGTTCAAATCCCGGAGAAGGCGTTGGATGTAAAATTGTCTGTCCCTTCATAGAAGGTAACGGTGGCAGCCTAATAGGTGCCTTCGCAGTAAAATGGCTACCACTTCTGGCCTTAGTAGTGGCAAATGCGGTTATAGGCAAGTGCCCGCCATTTAATAAAAAATAATAATAATAAAAAAAAAAATGACTGAGAGTAGCTGGGATATCGTCCACATATTCAACTGTATGTTAAAGGCTAACAAGCAGCTGTGTGTATCATTTAAAACTTGTGTATTATTTATCATACAGTTTATTACTGTGCTTGTAACATATGAACATAAGACATCAACGAAGTTGAAGAAAACTTTGAAAATATTCGATGAGCGTAACACTTCAAATTGTTCAATATCGGCGCAAAAGAAACTACTTAACTCAGTGGAATAAAATAATACTTTTACGTGATATATAATTGTAAATAAAATGAGTATTTTTGAATGCCGTGTATGCCATTCACAAATACTCATTTTAATTCAGAAATATTTATTTCCGAAAAACTCATTTTGATTCAGAAATACTCATTCCGAAATACCACTTTAATTACTAAATTAAGACTATAGGTTAGGTTGTTTAATTACGGCAAAGCCTCGAGGGCTATCTGCCTAAGGGGAGGGATGCCTTCGTGAATGACTTTCTAAGGGAAACTGGCTCGTATACACGTTACACATGGGGAAAACCACGAAAACACCCATGTAGCCAGCCCATTCGCGGGATTCGAACCTCGAACAAATTAAGACTATAACCAAATAGTTTAAGGGAAACTAAATATGTACACTCGTCACCCATTTGGCGTTATTGAAAGCATGTGTATATGTGTATACCTTCAGCAATAAAATAGTCGATACAGTGGGTACTGCTTAATAAAATCAGTAACCTCAGTCTCATTTCATCAAATCTATACTTCTTTTGTCATTTCAAAGTAGGTATGTAAAATGGCGGATTAACGAGCCTCAACTAGTTGCATATGCATTTATATGAATTACAGTAGGTAACGCTCAATGAAATCATTGTTTTATATAATCAACTGCTTATTAAAAGGAAACCCAAGAAACAAATTCAAATGGATGCAATATCATTATAAAATAACCGCTTTGAAATCAACGCTACCGCTCATAAAAATCAAATCGCTTTTAAAATCGTAAAGTCAAAAACCCTAAGTCTGCTACTGGCCCACCAGCGGCCGAGCGGTAAAGTCGCTGAACTCTGGTAGTTCGGTCCGAGGTTCGAATTCCGTGAACGGGCTGGCTGCATGGGTGTTTTCGTGGTTTTCCCCATGTGTAACGTGCATACGAGCCAGTTTCCCTTAGAAAGTCCTCCATGAAGGCATCCCTCCCATTAGGCAGATAGCCCTAATGTGCTTTGTCATAATTAAATTAAATACACTATACCGAAGTCTGTTTTTCAAGTTCAGTGATTCTGTTTAAAGTAGATTGACCTTTGCACGTGGAGAGGAAAATGCTAAAATTTTCTTATCTGGTGCTCTCAAAACTCTCAAGTCTGTGTTTCAAGGTCAGTGATTTCATTTAAGGTCGATTCACTTTTGCACATGGAGCTGCAAATACTAAAATGTTTTTAATCTGGACCAATCATGGTGGGAGGGGGGACAAAAGATTTGTCAGAACTGGCTCAGACAAGTTGGGAGAATGGGGAAACATAAAAAAGACACAAGGGAGAATTTATAATAAAATAACTGCGTTTTTTGCTCACACAATTCGTTCCGTTCACCCATCTATATTATGGTTTTGTTGTTGGGTCTGTTTCAAAATGTCAAAACGCAAAGACTTAAGCTTAAAAGAGAAAGAATTGCTGAAGCAATAGGATGCTTTACCAAAATGCAGCCAAAGTCAAGCTTCTGTACAACTCCGAATTTCACAATCTGTATTATGTACGTTGTTGAAAAGAAGGGACGCAACTTTGGGTGAACTGATGGCAAGTGCAGATGTCTCACCTAAGCAGAAGCGAAGTGGAAAGTCTACCGAAGTAAATATGTCCTCTTGGACTGGTTTCGAAATGCCAGGAACAAGAATGCCACGATGTCGCTAGAAATCATATATCGAAAGGCAACAGAATTCTCCAAAATACTAGTAGAGAAGTTTATTCCTACCTTTGGATGGCTCATAAGATGGACAGAAAGAAGCAATATCATTCATAAAATTACATGGAGAGAAGCAAGACGCAGACTCTAGTGAAGCTAATAATTGGATAGAAAGGTTTACGCTGACTTTTGAAAGAATACAAACCGCATTCAAATTTTTAACACTAATGAGACTGGTCTTTATTATTCAGCCTTACCTCACCCCACTTTAATTTTAAAAATGGGTGAGCAGCTGGCTGTACAAAAATGAAACGTGTTGCTGTGTTATTAATGTGAAATATAAATGGAAAGCTTAAAAAGACTCCATTAGTCATCGGTGCGAGCAAAAACCCTCGTCGTCTGAAGGGCGTCAAGTATTTGTCTGTGATATATTACAACAATAAAAATGCTTGGATGACAAGCAATATTTTTAGTGATTTTCTTACGAAGTGGGATAAAGAACTTCAGCAAGAAAAAGTGGCGCTCGAGTTAGATAACTGCTTTCCGCATCCAAT